TTGTGTATCAATTTATTCTTATAAATAGAAGATTGTGAGAGAGATCAATTAATCCCTTTAGAATTATTTTACAGTTTCAATCTTAAGTGTTATATTGATTGAATCCTTATTAAACAGATACATGCTTCTAATTGATTCTGGGTGTGCTGGGATAAACTTTGAAAAGAAGCTCTTTGTCTATGCTGTTTTTTATTGAGTTTTTTTGAGATTCTATGCTTTCCAGCTTCTATGAAAAGTAACAAACTTTTTTTCTTTTGAAAAAACTTATCTAATTTTAACAATTTTTTTGACAGTTTTAATTAAACATTTGAAAAAACAGGCAGACTATCATGTGCATAGTCTGTCTAGCATCATTTTCCATTTCATTCCTTCAAAAGATTGCTGTTTGCAATTTCAGAACTTGTGCCTCTGTAGCACTTTTCTCAAGATTCTATTAGACATCTGACATTTGATGTTTTGCTTTTCTTTCAGACCTTTATTGACAAGTTCCGTTATAATGCAAAGAGGGCATCACTCGTTCAATCTAGAATCAAGGTACTTGTTATTGTCAGATTAGCATTTTATAAATCAATTGCCCAGAAAGTCATGTGCATGTGTATGTTATTTAGTCCCTGGTTTATTTTTTTTAAAGTTTCAGTTTAAATAATTAAATCCGATATTTCTGTATCATAAACCCCCTTTTTTTCCTGGAAAATATATTTCAGGCTTTGGAGCGAATGGGCCATGTGGATGAGATTGTTAATGATCCTGAGTAAGAACTTATTTCTTTTATTGTGTTTCTCTGTTTAGCTTTGTTGTAGTTTTTAACTGTATATATCTTTTTTGTTCTGGTGGGATATAGCTACAAATTTGAGTTCCCCACTCCGGATGATAGACCTGGTCCACCGATTATAAGTTTCAGGTATCCCTTCTTGTACTGTATCTATGGACAATATTGATACGAACCAATGAATACCAAAACATAGTGTCACATACAGCATTTAGGCCTTCTTAGTGAGCTAAATGGAAAATTTTCATCATGTGTGCAGTGATGCTTCATTTGGTTATTCTGGGGGCCCCATTCTTTTTAAGAATTTGAACTTTGGGATTGATCTTGACAGCCGTATTGCAAGTAAGAATCATGTTTATTGTAGTTCCTGGAATGAATTCTCTCATGCCTTTTGAAAGCCTTGCCGTGATATAGATAATTTGGTTCAATTTATATTGGCATCATATAGTATGCATGATTGCTCAGCATGAGTCATGACTGTATGTGGAATGAATTCTCTCATGTCATTCATTCCTGGATTGTATCATCTGTGGGTGGGGGACGGAGGAGTGTTTGTTAATATAATGACATGGTACTGCCATATTGGTTATGTCTTGAAGATTATATCCTCAATGTTTGCAGTGGTTGGACCAAATGGTATTGGCAAATCAACTATACTTAAGTTAATTGCTGGGGAACTTCAGCCCAGTTCAGGGACTGTCTTCCGTTCTGCTAAGGTAATTATAGTACATTGAGAAAACAATCCTACAATTTCATAAATAAAAGTTACTTCTTTTTGTCTCACCTCCATTATTATTTGACTTATTGGCTATTTTTTTTATCCACGATACTGTTAACAACTGAAGTCTCAGTAGTTTATGGTTTAAATCAGTTGTGAATGTCAAAAGTAGTTTATGAATGATTTGAAAATGGTAATGAATTTTACAAGTTACTACGTGATGCTCAGGAACTTGAAATTATCATAGTGGCAGCTCATCTATCCGTAGTAATGTCTTCTCTTATTTCAATATTATTTTGGATCATTAATTACATATCTTTACTGTTACAGGTTCGTATAGCAGTGTTCAGTCAGCACCATGTTGATGGTCTGGACTTATCCTCAAATCCTCTACTGTATATGATGCGCTGCTATCCTGTGAGTTCCTTGTATTCTGTGACAATTACCTGTTTTCTGAATGTTTTATGGGAGTTAATATTAATTTAAATGCCTTAGTGGGGTTCCCATCCTTCTAATCACTGACTAAATGAAGTGCTGGATAATTGATGTTCCCATCATATTCTAATTGGGGTGACATACTTGAAAAAGAGAATGATTTTATTATTTTTATTCATATCAAATACATTCTCCTCACCTTTATTTCTAGCAATCTAATCTTCTAAAAAAGGAAAATAAAGAAACAATATACTTAAAAATCTAGAAGATCATACACCAATTTTCTCAACTCTAATAAAGAAGATTCTATAGATATTTTTTCTAATTAAGAAGATTCTGTAGATATTTCTTCTAATTACAACACTCTCCTCAAGTTGGTAAATAAATATCAATCATTCCCAACTTGCCTACAAGATCTTAAAATCTACCCGGAGGGAGCCTTTTTGTAAAAATATATGCTATCTGAAGTTTGGTAGGAACATGAGTTGTAATCACAAAGCATCTGTCTAGATTATTTTTGATGAAATGTATATCAATCTCAATGTTTTTAGTCTTGTCATGTTGTATTGGATTATGGGCTATGCTCATGACAAACTTATTGTCACAATGTAGTTGCACAAGGTTATCCACCTTGTTTTTACAGAAGCACTTTCCTTACTTCCAATGATGTGATTCTGTTCTATAGGAACTGTTGAGGTTCTACATCCCAACTTTCCTGTTTCTTTGCGGAGATCAAGTACATATTTTCTTTGGGATATGGAAATTTTGTTCTTGGAGTAAGCAACCTCTATTCCAAGAAAATATTTGAGTTTTCCTAGGTCTTTCATTTCAAATTAGGCTACCAATTTTTTTTTTTTTAATGCCAACTTTTATGTTTCATCATCTACACTAATCATATCATCCACATAGACAAGCAATAGTGAGTTTACCTATCGAAGAGTGTTTTATGAATAAAGTATTATCTTCTTGGCTTTGTCTGTATCCCAAGGAAACAATTACTTTTGTAAATCTTTCAAACCATGCTCTAAGGATTACTTAAGACCATGCAAGGCTTTCTTTAGGAGGCATACCTTGTTTCTTTCATTTTACACTTCAAAACCTCGGGGAATCACCATGTACACTTCCTCTTCTAGATTTTCATGAACAAAGGCACTCTTCACATCCAACTGGTGTAAGTCCCATCCAAAATGAGCAGCCAAAGCGAGAACAACTAGAATTGTATTCATCTGTCATTGGGGTAAATGTCTCCTCATAGTCAATTCCATAAGTTTGGGTATATCCTTTGCCACCTATCTAGCTTTATATCTTTCTATTGTCCCATCTGACTTATGTTTCACTATGAATATCCATCTACATCCTATTGTCTTCTTGTCTCTTGGCTTATCAACAATCTCCCAAGTTGAATTTCTTTCTAAGGCATTCATCTCTTCTTTCATGGCTTGATTCCAATGTTCAAGTTTCATGGCCTCTTGGATTGAGGTAGGAATATTTGTGGCATCAATGACAACAATAAAGCTTCTATACTTATCAGATAGATTGTTAGTGCAAACATACTGTGAAATAGGATATTTAGCACATGATATTCTTTCCTTTCTTAATGCAATGGGTAAATCCTCAATGATACTTACCTCCTCACTGATATCTTCAAGGATCCTCACCTCCGGATTAGACAAATTTTCTTGCTTCAACGATATTTGTTGTTTGTTGGGCGTATTGTTCCACCCACTATTGGACCATTATTAGACCACCCATTAATGTCTAGTCTCACGCTCGAGATGTATATACCTCGACATGAGGGGGTATGTTGGAAGTCCTACATCGACTAAAGATAATGCTAATTTAGAGTATATAAGTGGGTACAAACCTTACTATACAAGCCGGTTTTGTGGGATTGAGTTAGGCTTAAAGTTCACTTCATAACAAATGTCAAAGTCTTTGATGATGTAACCATATTTGGGAATTTGCCCACGTCTCAGATGTAGCTTGTTGACTCATGATTTTTGTTTTGCTTTGGTCATCAGACTCTAAAAGATACAACCCATTCTGCTCTTAGCAGTTAAAATCGTCTTCCCCGTGGTAAGGTCCTAAAAAACACAATTTGAGAAAAACGTTATTGAACAATTTAAATCCTTTTAGTTTTTGCACACAAATAAGACTATTGGCTAATTGTTGAACATGTAAAACATTCTTTAATACAATAGATGAGTCCAAAATTATATTCCTAGAGCCATATATAGGGGTATATCTTGACCATTTGCAACTTTAATTAGTTGTTCTTTATATCTTTTACCATGAGTCGAAGGACACGAGAAGGTGTCATATGATCAGTTGCTCCTGAATCAAGGATCCATATACCTTGAGACACCATAACCAATATTATTAAGACAAATCTTACCTTTCATGGACAAAGTACATGATCCAGAGGGCTTACTCATTGATTCAACCATTGCTTTCAAGCGCTCGAGTTCCTCCTTATAAGCTTTCATATCAAGATCCGGTGGTGGTGAATGACCAGATTGTGAAGGACTAGATTGACTGGTGGCTTCTTGTTCTGAGGTAGTATGATTTACCCATCTTTAAGTAGACCCTTTGTTGTTTCCCATCCACTCGAGAACATTATTTCTTCCATGGAGTTTGAAGTATGTTTCCTTGGTATGTCCAGATCTTTTACAGTATGAATAATAGTCCCCACGAGTACTTTTTGAAATGACTTTCCCCTAGCATTTGTTCTCTTATGAACTCCCTTTCCGGTTGTCATGGTAGAGCTTGTGTTAGAGATCCCCAAATCAAGCATGATAGCTCTCCGAGTTTCTTCTCCTCTTACCATAAGAAAAACTTCTGATAGGGATGGTAATTTTTCTTTTCCTAAGATTTGTACCCGGATCGGGTCACACTCATGATTCAAGCCATGGAGAAATTTAAAGATTCTTCCTCTTTCCACGACTTCAACAAGTGCGGCAACATCTGTTTTACACCTCTTTATTGTTTGGTTATGATCTAATTCAATCCAAACTCCATTAAGGATTTCGTGGTATTCTGATACGGAAAGGGAGCCCTGTATTGTATTATTTATCTTGCTTTCAATGTCATAGCATGCAACAAAATCCTTTTTAATGAAAAAGTACTCAGTAAATCATCCCATATCTTTTTGGCAGAAGAATGAACCATATAATTTCGACTTATTTTAGGAATCATGGAATGCCACATCCAAGTCATAATTAGTGAATCTTCATTCTCCAAATTTTGAAAATGTGTTGTTTGGTTCTGACCCTCCTTCATCTATGTGATCTAGTCTTGAACGTCTCTTGAGAATCTTTTGAATGTAGTGGCTCTACTTAAGAAATTCCAACCATCCAACTGATAGGCATCCACTGTATTTGGAAAATCATTGGGACCCAAAGAAATAATTTTTACTTCAGACATCACGTAGAACGCAATCAGGTGTCTCCGGTGACCTTATCCGAGACTACGACGACGATGTTTGGGTTACATTGGAAATAAGGAGCAAAACTTAAAACTTAGATCTACTCAAATCTAGGCCAAATGGGACATCACTGATCCCTGGAATGCACTCAGGAGGCTCTAACAACCCTTTTTGTGATGGTGGCGGCGAGTTGGTCTCACCGGAACTAGGCACGTGGGCTGGCAATGGTCGTGACGCGTGGTAGCTTCTTTCCCGAAACGATTTTCGGTGTTGTGTTCGCTAGAGTTGGGTGCACCTTTCTGCCCTATCAACAACCTCAATTGGTTACGGCGGCAACTGCAGTGGTCGGACAACCATGGTGGTGGCTATTGTTGCAACGGAAACGGAGCTCCCAAGATCGGGAGTTTTGATACCAACTTGAAAAAGAGATTGATTTTATCATTTTCATTCATATCAATTACATTCTCCTTACCTCTATTTGTAGCAATCCAATCTTCTAAAACAGGGAAATAAAGAAGCAATATACTCAAAATAATCTAGAATATCATACACCTATTTTCTCTAATCAGGAAGATTCTATAGATATTTTCTCTAATTAAGAAGATTCTATAAATATTTCCTCTAATTACAACACAAATCAATCTATTTATCTATTTTCCATCCAATCCATTTATAAATAAATTCATGTGTTTATAAAACATGGATCGGATCCAATCTCTCCACAGATGGCTTTGTTTTACTTGCAGACGTGAGGTTGAGTGTTGTAAACTTCTTTGTCAATAGTGCTATTCAGGAAAGAAGAGGTCAATGTTAGTTATAGCCAGGGCGAGGATAAGACAAACTAATGCAGTTTTGATGATAGTGAAAAGGTTTCATTATTGTTGTAAACTCGTTGCTGGTGAAACTCTTTAAGCAACCAGCCGGACTTTGTACTGGTTGGCAGTGCCATTAATATTCTCTTTGACGTGGAAGACCTGCTTACAGCCAAAGGAAGTCCTGTTGGGCGGTAAGGGGACTAGGGACCAAGTTCCATTGTGCAGCAGGGCATCATATTCTGCTTTCATAGCTACATACCAAGTAGGGTGAGTTGCCTGTTTACTGGTTTTGGGTTCAATGTGAGTGAGGAGAGTGACCTAAACCAAACACCTGGAGCCTTTTTTTTTGTTTGGGGAAACTATAGGGAAGAATGTAAGGATCACCAGTATAACAGATTAAGTTCTTTTTGTGCATGTGAAAACTAATAATTGTTTCCTCTTTTCATGATATAGTTTTTGTGAATTTTTTTTTTGAAAGAGAGGAAGGGGAACTGATCAGGTCTATATTTTGGGTGCTAGGCATGTAACTCGGTGATTTTGTCAAAACTTGTTTAATCGCTGTACTTGTAATTTGATTATTAAATTTTTTCCTTTTTTAAAAATTTCTGCAGGGAGTTCCAGAACAGAAGCTTCGAGCTCACTTAGGTTCTTTTGGTGTAACTGGAAATCTTGCACTGCAGCCAATGTATACTTTGTCAGGTACTTTTTGTCACAGTTCATGTAGACATCATAATTCATAAACGTTTCATTAATTATCTTTTAGATCAGCAATAATATATGTTACAACACTCGTGGGTGTTGAGTTCCAATCTGGTGTGAATTATATTTTTTGACTTCTCCAAATGCTTTACTAGGTGGTCAGAAAAGCAGGGTTGCCTTTGCAAAGATAACTTTTAAGAAGCCACACATAATATTGCTTGATGAGCCTTCCAATCATCTGGTATGCTGCTGTGTCTCTCCGTCATTGTTTGTTGCTCCTTGGTGGGCTGTTTGTTGTTTACTGTCTTATTTGTTGAAGGGAAAGTACATGCGTCTAATGACTCATTGTTTTTGTTTTCCCTCATGGTGGTGCTTATTTTGGCTTTTATAATAGTATGCAAGCAACTTGAGTGAGGAGAAAATAGCTGTAGATCCTATGTTTTTTTAGGGAATCATCTCAATCCTAACATAACATCGTCGTTTTAAGGAGACGGACTTATTGCCCTGTCCGAAACAGCTTACATTTCCTGCACTGAATCTTACGTTGTAATTTGTGTCTTCATTTCCTACAATGGCATCGCCGTGCAACAGCTATAGTAATAAGATCGAAATCCCTGAACAGGAAAATTACTGGGCATTTTTATTTGTTTACTTCTTTTATGGGGCCAGTTAAACTACTGACACTATTTGTCTGGACGAGACGTTTTGCAAAATAAATTGGATGTAGATTGGCAATTTCAATTTTCAAGAGGATTTCTTGGAATATAACATTAGGGTTCAATGAACACATAACGCATATATAAGAAGAAACTTTACTGTCTTGTTTGATTAACAAGTGCAAAGATGTTATAGTGCAGCTTGTGTAGTATATTGTGAATTAAGCGACCCTAAATCCAAAATTTACTGAACGTAATATAACATGGTGTAGGATTTGGATGCTGTAGAGGCGCTTATCCAAGGTCTTGTCCTGTTCCAAGGAGGCATTCTAATGGTATGATAAACTCTCTGACACCTCATTCTTTTAATATTAGTATTCGATTTGAGTGGTCATAGACAATCATATCATACGTTTGTGTCTGGCAGGTGAGTCACGATGAACACCTTATCTCGGGAAGCGTGGAGGAACTATGGGTTGTATCCGAAGGAAGAGTGACACCATTCAATGGCACCTTCCAAGATTATAAGAAGATACTCCAATCAGCCTAGGAACAGAACAGAGACCACTCTTTGGTAATTGGAAGATACCTGGATGACATTTTTCTGCTATTTGTCTCAGCATGGGAGGGAATATACAAGTTTTAACATTTATAATTTCTGTAAGGTCTACACATTTTATTTTGTATTTGTTTATTACAAAAACATCAATGTGATTCCACTACACAATCACGTTGCAACATCAATGTCTGTAGACTCACTGGAATGAAAGAAAAGGGTATTGTTTGTCGTAAGAAAATTGTGACAGCACCAGAGAATATATGGTCTTGCCATTGTTGAAAATGACCCAATAAGAAATTCGCAATGAAGAATATTTATTCATGTACTTCACTGATTTCTTGGACCATCTCCTACTTTTTCGGATGGGTAAAATTTATTCCAAAATAATGGAAGGTAGAAATTAGTGGACTGGACGAAGTTAACATTTATAATTAATGGAGGTAATAAAAATTTAATTGGAATTTATTAAACTAAAATAAAGCGTTCTTCAAAAGCAAACTTTTTCTGAAATGTGTAACTTTCTTCGTAGTTGCAGTAAATATAAGACTAGCAGCGGAATTTGAATTAAAATTATTGAAGTATAATGTCATTATTTTATTATTAATACTTATGTTACGGGCTTCACGTGTTTTATCTTTCAGAATTATTATCTTCTATAAATACATTAGTAAAGTATATCAGTTTTCTTTAATCAAAATATAAGACTCTTCTTCTTTAAACTTCAAGTTGGTATCAAGAGCCAAACTCTTTGTCTTCTTTGTCTATAGTCGGCGGTATCATCTCATTGTCATTTTCGCCGTTCGCTCTGCCGTCCGCCGCCTCTACCGCCGCCTCTACCGCCGCCCAAAGTCAAGGGTTAGGTGCGTCTTGAGAAGCGCAACCCAACCTGGTGGTCCCGTCCTCTGAAGCCTCTGCACTAGTCGCCACACGCCGCTTCTTTCCGGCCAGTCCATCGTCGTCGCCGCCGCCGAACGCCATTTTCTCTAGCGAAGTCAAGGGTTAGGTGCGTCTTGAGAAGCGCAACCCAACCCTAGTGGTCCCGTCCTCCGAAGCCTCCACACCAGCCGCCACGCGCCGCTTCTTTTCGGCCAGTCTCGCTCGCGTGTTCTGCACGCCCCGCCTTCCCGGTGTCGGAGTTTCACCGCGTCACTGCAGATCGTCTCGTCGGGGCTTCTTGAGTGTGTTTCGGTTCCTGTTTCTCCGTTTAGTTGGCTTGGGCTCATACCTAGGGTCTTCTTCCTCACGTTTTTGAAACCCTAAGTCCCATCTCTTCTCTAAGTTTAAAATGGCTTCTTCTACTGGAAGTAATTTCTCTTTATCTGCTACCCCTATCATTACATCTGCAAAACTGAATTGGAAAAATTATTTGTCATGGTCCTCAGCCGTGGAATTGTGGTTTCTTGGTCAAGGACACCATAATCACCTTGAACAAGATATTTCTATGGTCCCAGACGAAGAAAAATCTCAGTGGTAGAAATTAGACTTTCAGTTATGTGTTGTTTTGTGACAATCAATTGAGCAAGAGGTTTTAGATATCTTGAGACCCTATAAGACATGCTCCTCTTTTTGGAAAAGGGCCCAAGATATTTTTGCTAATGATGTTCAACGTCTTTTTGATGCAACCCAAAGAGCAACTTCTCTCAAACAAGTCAACCATAATATGGTTTCCCATGTAGCAAAAGCTCGGGCTTCGGTAGAAGAGTTAAAGAACTTCTTTGTAGCTGATTCATTAGAAAATCTCAACAAAAAGCTTGACAAGTTTTACATGATCCTAATTTTGAAAAGTTTACGCTCTGACTTTGATCATGTACGTGATCAAGTTTTAGCGGGTGATCAAATCCCGTCGATGGATGGCTTAGTTACTTGACTCCTTTGGGTACCTACATTGGTAAAGGAAGAGAATTTAAGTGATGCTATTGAAACATCAGCAATGGTGACACCGCGAGGAAGAGGAGGAGGTAGGAACAATCGAGGAGGACATGGTGGTCGAAGTGGACGTCCTCAATATATTGTAAGAGAATGGATCATACCTAAGATAAATGTTAATCCTTGCATGGCTTTCTAGACAAAGCTGCTCATGTGTCTAAATCTGATAATTCAGAATCTAGAATTTCTGTTGAAGAGTACTAAGAGTTTTTGAGGTACAAGTCTGAAAAATCTTTTAATCTTGGCCAATCTTCCTCACTGCCAAATGTGTCAACTGCCTGCATCTCTCAATCTGTGGACGGTCATAGTCCATGGATTCTTAACTTAGGTGCCTCAGATCATATCTCTGGTAACATCCCTTCATTTTCTTCCATGTCCTCTCCGAAAACTCCTCATTTCATTATTGTTGCTAATGGATCCGAAGTTGCATCTCAGGGAATTGGCAAAGTTTCCCTATCTCCTTCACTAAAATTGAATTCTGTTTTGTATATTCCTTATTGTCCTTACAATTTAATCTCTTTGAGTCGATTGACTCGTTCTTTAAATTGTTCTGTAACCTTTAATGCGAATTCCTTTGTTATACAGGAACATGGTACGGGTCGTCTGATTGGAGAAGGACATGAGTCACGAGGACTTTATTTCTTAAAACCTAACTCCTCAGTTTCTTGTTTTTCAACTTCATCCCCAAAACTTTTGCATGATCGTTTGGGCCACCCAAGCTTATCCAAGTTGAAGATGATGGTTCTAAGTCTCAAACACATTCAAGTCTTAGATTGTGAGTCTTGTCAGTTAGGAAAACATGTTAGATCTTCCTATCCTCAAAAGTCTGAGACGCAATGTAATTTTGCCTTTTCAACTATTCATTCTGATATTTGGGGACCAAGTCGTGTTACTTCTTTTGGTTTTAATTATTTTTTAACCTTCATTGATGAATTTTCTCGATGTACTTGGGTTTATTTAATGAAAGAGAGATATGAACTTTTGGCAATATTTGTGTCTTTTTTTAATGAAATTAAGAACCAATTTGGGAAGACAATTAAAATCCTCAGAAGTGATAATGCTAAGGAATACTTTTCTGCAGCATTTTCTT